TACTTAGCCACTACATAAAGCTATCAAAGTCTGTTACGATCGAGTAGGGAAACCATGACGCTATATGGCCGTGACGCCGTTACTTTTGTGCTGTCGTTCTCACGGATCAGAAACCACTCGCCTATACTGGCTGTCAGCCGTCATATTGGATGAAAGTATAGACATGTACAGATTGTAAAAATGCTGCCTGTCGTAACTTGTCAGAACTTATTTTATACCACTACTGTATTACACATATTGTGAATGCACATAATGTTTGTATCACAAAGACAATAATTGATGTCTTTTGAAAATAAAGCTTATTGTTATAATTTTCGTACTCTGTGCAGAGTTAGTTTTATTGTTAGTTATCCCAAAGACATGCGTGAAGGGTTTATTTCTCGAATATTTGAGTTCGCAATGTATAGGAGGAAGTCTCATGTTGTCAGCTTTATTCCCAAAAGTAATATTCGCTAAATATTTTATATATGGAAAGTAGTATTCTGTATCTTGTCTTACAAGCACGAATACCTACCTTGTGATAATAAAAAGACTATATTAATACTATAGGGGATTGTAGTCAACTGGCATAACGCTCGTGTAATAGCATACATAGATAAACAATTAATACAGTTAGTATATACATTAATCAATACAATTTTTGAGGAATTCGCAAGAGCTGCCTTATCAGGTACTAACTACATGTACTAGTCCTTTGCCACCTGGCTAATATCTCCCTATGTTTGTATGCCTGTGTATGTGCTGGAGATGCAATGTGTGTTCTGTTTGTAGTGGGACAGTGCTTCCAACGGGGACACAGCGAGACCGTGCCATCTCACTTGAATGCTACAGCACAGATACCGCAACATCCACCCCAGACCATTTTATACTCCCTTCGGGTTATTGGGGTTGTGTGGGCAAGAGAAAAACACTTTCTCTGAATATTCAATATTACGACGACTTCGGGGATCAAACCCCAGCCGCCTGCGTGGAAGGTCGAACGTTAACCACTAGACCAATCCGCCCATGAATCGAGTTGGCTACTCATGATGAAAAAATATCTAAAAAATATTAAGATTTTTGAACCTACTTGTAATATATCTAGAGAGAGAGAAAGGCATCGTCATATCCTATACATTGTATACATCGGTAAAGAGGTTTACCGCAAATTTTAGTACACCCAGTTGTTATCGGCACATATACCGTATAATCATATAGCTATTGTAATTACCATGTCCTTCAAGGCTACATATAAACAACTTCAACAGTTTTGAAGTAGGAATAAAAAGTATACTCTTATGAATCAAATGTCGCTGATTTGTTTTGCTGGTCTGAAGCAGAGTGAACCGTACGCGTGTTCCTTTTAGATATACCGATAAGCCTTTGATCTAAGTTCTTAGCATGAAGCTCCTTATCTAGACAAACAGTTCTCCGAGATCGATGCGTAATCAGCGCATTTAATAAATTAATTGCATTAAACAGTAATTATTTTTATACTGAATTTATTGATGTCACTCAACAAAATCAGTTAAATGACAGGCTTGTTATCATTTATAAGTTCTCTGTAGTTACGTCCCTTTTTAGATCAATGGAAGAAGGAGTGGAGATAAGTCAGTTAAATCAACTGCACGATACACGCAACAAATTCGATTGATATACAAAATACTGAATGGCATCTCACGCGCTCACGAGTTCTCGAGCTCACGAGCCATTATCAACACCCTATGAGTAATTCTACTTTAGATGAAATCGTAAAGTTACTCAACACATACAAATATAGAAATAGCACGTAATACTTCACGCAGAACAGTGCAGATCGATTGGTAGGAGCATGTTTGATAAACATCTGAGTTAGAAACATGCTTTGATCACAAGCTAGTAACGTGTTTAATTTACATCCGGGTCAAACTCATTTAAAGACGTTGATGTTCGTAACATTCAATTTGCATCTGGGTTTGAAACACGCTTCCATTAAGGTTAATGTTAGCAACAGTTAGATCTGCATCGGGGTTAGACACATTTAATTAGTGTCAGTGTTAGTCAAACGCTTCAACTGTATTGGATTTAACACACTCTATAACTGATGTCAGTGTTAGTAACTGTTTAAGTTACATTGGAGCTAGAAAAGCTATTTGATTAGCCTCAATGGCGCGAACGTGTTTGGATTGTGTCGGAAAAAGACAGACAACACTTTCAAGATTATAGCTAATGACTATTTATTCGTTTATGATTTAAAAAATATAATAACTTTGCAAAAAAACACAACATTGCGCTGTAATTTCGTCGCCGAGCGACTTAAACCAGTCGGAAGCTAGAATTGCAAATACCGCGCAAAACATTGCATTATACGTTTACGACGTCATCATTTTTTGTGTTTTGGTTTTTGGTTGTGGTCTTATTTAGTTAACGTCTTATCAACAGCTAAGGTCATTGTGTGTGCTATATTTAGTTCATGTGATATAACCTGAAAATGTCTAATTAAAGATATCTCAAATAATTTAATATATATATATATATATATATCTTTAAATATAATAGGGTATTGTCATATGGTTAGTATTATATAACAAAATCTATATTGTTTACTGTATAAGATATCTCCCTCAAACCAAAAGCATAAGACTCTTTCATGCCCAATGGTGTAATAGGGGAATTCCGACCGAGGGTTTTTCAAATTTGATAAAACTCGGAGCTTTGCCGAGGGTTTTGCCAAATTTGAAAACACCGGGAAAAAAAAAAAAATCCTAGCATACACCCTTGTGCATGAAAGAGTATTTTTCTCTCATTCCAACTCCAAGAACCAGCTCAGAAGCCATGAAAATGCGTGTGGACTTTTGAAAATATCATTTTTTCCCTGAACATTTCTAACAAAAGAAAACAGAGTCCGCGCAGAAAAAAAAGTCTTCTCTTTCTAACGTGTGCGATAAATATATTATAAAAAGGTTTTTATTTCATCACGTCGCCTTTACCGCATTGCAGTATCGGAACATTCCAAATCGTGACGTCACATCATTGTTGAGCAATTGTGACGTCACTTCATGTGAAATCGGGTGTAAGATAGAAATGTCTTACACCCTTTTATTACGCCTCGACAGCCCTATCTACATAAATTGAAATGAGAGAAAGATATCTCATTACTTCAAGAGATATATCCTTTAGTATGTAGGATATATCTTTCTAGATATTAAATGTTAAGTTTTTCTATTTGGAAACCTGAGTCTTTGTTTCCAGCGATTAATCATGTTTGACGTGTTCCTCCATGACGTCATGCTATATGTATTTACATTTCGAGTGACATGAGAAACAAGCAATCCAATTCTTGTTGATCTTTCATAATGTAAAAACATCACCGTGAGTTGATTATCCAGTTAGTTTCGTCTAACCAGACTCCTGATTCCCTCGTAACTCGGCGTAGCTTGTGTAGACAACAAGAGTCTGGTTGACCGAGACGATTTTCAGGATGACAATCTGGTGTGTAAAAGATCCTCGTATCACTGCCTAAAGTTGTAACTGTGCATTGGAAACTCGTTTTCTAGTCCAGACTACATCTTTTACAAACACTTTGTTTTAAAAAAGAAAACCTTGGTGAAGTATAGCGTCTATGCTCGTGCCAACTGTTTTTGTTTCACGCTAAATCATGATGTGACACTATGAAAGTTACAGATTTGAACATTGAAAATGTTATACGGCTTTATGTCTCAAAATTATTCCAAATCATATACAAATTGTGTGCTTTTTATTTATTTATCACAGGGACAAGAAGATGAACTTTAGCACAGAATCTGAATTTGCACATAAGGACAGTTTCATGACTACGGGCCCATATCATGCAGAACATTGATGCAAAAAATATATGTTTTAATTAAAACAATTAATAAATAAATATGGCATACACCTCCCAAAATAGTCAACAGTGACATTCTAATTGTCACAACAGGTACCGACCATGGTTCGAATTCCTCTTTATCTTAGTTACCTGGTCACTGGAATTATTCACACCTGTTGCGCTACTGTGATATCAACAACAAATATATAATAGTAATTCGTGGTTCTTATATACCGCTTTATCACAACGTTGTTCGTAGGTCGTCTCAAAGTCTTAATGTATTTGCATTCGATCAATCTTTAGGCTAAAAGCAAATATTCGTTCCATTTTTCCATGAAGCTGTTTTTTTTTCTTTCGTTTGTTTGGAGTTTTACGACTTCACAACAGCTACATGTACGTTCAAATCAATAAGGAACAGTTTGTCACATGTTTCCTGTTTCGATGGCATCCTACTTGTTTTATGTTTATGAATATCTACATGTATTCATGTGTCGATTAATCACATGTTTCCCTTTTCGATGCAACTATAGCACACAACTCCATTTTGAAGCGTATATCTGCAAATCAAATACCTGATGTAGGCGGATTGTATGCGACCAAAATGAGCATTAACGAAAATCTCATTTATCTCCTGTTTTGATTTGTTCATCAATCATACTAATATTATTAATAATTCTTCGAGGTTCTTATATAGCGCTCTATCACAACCTAGTTCGTAGGTCGGCTTAAGGCGGTTCACAAATTGTAATCCGTGGTTAAAGGGCCTTTGCAACCAGCCAATAGCTTTCTCAACTCCCCGTGGAGCATGTAGCTGATGCAGCCATTTCGGCGCTCACAGCTAGCATTCAACAATTCGAGCACTGCCATCCACATACTCATTTACAGCTGAGTAGACTGTAACAAGCGGAGTGAAGTATCTTGCTCAAAGATACAACACTGTACCGAGCCGTGCCGTGACTCGAACCCGCAACCCTTCGGTCACGAGCCCGGCGTCCTACATGTACCACTAGACAACTTATTATGGACTGATTATAAAGGAGAGGTAACTGTATGAATGAAATATATTCTGGACAGTGATCCTGAATATACACGAATTAATATACTTGTAGTAAATCGTAATCAGTCACCATGCATATATTTGATAACATTTATTTCCAAATAATTACTTTAAACTCTTTCTGTTTTCTATTTTCAGCTGTCGTGTCCATAATTTGACTGCCTAACATTTCCCAGCATTCAACATACAAAATGGCGGAAGAGATCCAGATGGACAACAATTCGTTTGAAAACGTGACGACGGATGCGCCCTTCCTCCTTGACCTGACGGTCTCGTTTCCGATACGATACGCTGTTCCACTTTTAGGATACTTCTCTCCGGTGTTGATCCTCATTACACTGGTTACAAATACTCTGGTTGTGATCGTGCTTCTCAAGAAGCACATGCGTTCTCCCACTAACGCCATTTTGGCGGGAATGGCCCTGTCTGACATGTTTACTGGGCTGTTTCCCTTGCCTGTATTTCTGTATTTTTTCGGTTTGGGCAATTATAAAGAATATATCCCGTATAAGTGGTGCTACACATACAAGTATATGTCTGAGCTGATTCCGACTATCTTTCACACCGCCTCAATCTGGCTCACCATGGCGCTTGCAATACAGCGGTATATTTACATTTGTCATAGTTTCAAGGCCCGGAAGTGGTGCACAATCACTAACGTGCTTTACGGCACGTTGGCAATATACGTCATAGCTATTTTGAGCCAAATTTCACGATTCTTTGACTCTACCTACCAGCCGTTTATAGTGCCGTCTCGTCTGGACCCAAACCAGACGATTGTCGCATGTGAAGAGGCATTAATGCCATGGGTGCGAGATAACCCGGATGTATATTATAACGTTTATTACTGGTTCAGAGTAATATGTATACATCTAATTCCGTGCACATTTCTTGTGGTTCTCAACGCTTTGCTCATCTCGGCCATGCGCTCTGCGCAACTTCGTCGGATGCAGCTACTGAAACAGAATAAAAAGAGTGAGAGCAAGAAACTAAAGGACAGTAACTGTACCACACTCATGCTTGTGGCTGTGGTGGGTTTGTTTCTGCTGGTAGAGCTGCCTCTCGGCATAATTATCATTGTAAACATTATGGACAATACATTTGAACTAGGAATATTTTCTGACGCTGAGAAATACGGTATCATGAACTTGATATCGAATTTCTTCATTTTGTTGAGTTATCCGTTGAATTTTTTTATTTACTGCGGGATGTCTCGGCAGTTCCGGGAAACTTTCAAGCGGATGTTCACAGGGGCGCCCATGCCCATCGACCGTGATTGTTCCCAGTACATGACACTACCAACGGAAAACGGTAAGACAGCCCTGACGACCGACGAAACAGCTCTTTAGGATCAACAAGTTTTATCCAGTCAAACGCGTCGTCTGTTGTCGACGTTGCGTGATATCCGGATAAACATATCGTCGACATGTATGCGCAAGCCAATCTTGACGCATAGGAAATGAGCCGTTTTCACCTCTCCCAGAATGTTGTGCTTGTTTTCAATTCCTTGCGTTAGGCTTGTTATTCGCGCCAGCGTGAGGTCAGCGACATGACCGTAGACTATTAACAACCGTTTCCGTGAATGTTAGACAAACGTCGTAAACATCTAAAGTTCAAGACGGAATGATCGCTGCTCCTACGGTGACGTTATGCGGTAAAGACGTAAAGGGTGTTCGTTATACGGCCTCTCTTTCTCTCTATGTACGTTGATATTGGCCCTAAAAGTTGCCTATGGGTCTAGTCACTGGCATCAACATCAGACATCAGTGTTTCAAAAGTCTCAAAAAGGATGAAAGAAGCACAGTGTAAGATTTCGGCGAAATGATTGAAACCCTTAATGCATCCCTGTGAAATGCCACATGTACCCTTGGAATGATAAAAATCGGCTCATACGTTGGACTACAATAGTAACACATGGTGAAATGCTTTATCACTAGAGGTATTGCACTGTTAGATTTCAAATATTCTAGCCGGAATATCAACCAAACATGTGTAGCCGTCTGAAACTCAAACACTCAGCAATGATTGACAAAGTTTTCGTTGTGCACGTGCTCATCTCAATGCGCTCAACGCAGGATTAAAACTATTGACCCTCTCTGTCATTTTTGAAAACAAAGTTATGTTTTTGCGTGTATCGTTGAAATGGAAGCTGGTCTACGATGACGTTATTGGCTACGATCACTTTTATTTTTGTACATATTTTTTGTCACAATCATAATACGTTACATGTATATAATCGACCTGCAAAACGCTGGACGTTGAATGTGTTGTAGATTTGTGATTTACAAAGAAGTCGCATTATAATGAGCAAGTTAAGAAGAAAAGTGAAAAATAGTGCGTTATGGAGCAGTTAAAAGAAAAGGCGTAAACTGTTCCCGTGAACTATGATATTGTGACTGATTAAACAACTAGTATATTGGTTTTCATATATTTCGTAGAATTAAAATATTCTCGTGAGTTATCGCACATTCTCACATGTACTCACGTGGGTCAATTAGATCTCGTGTTTTATTGTATCATGAAGCTGTGTACAATCTTAAGAACTCTATCATTCATGAGATAACTCATATTGACATTAAGCGAGATTATGAAATAAATTTGAATTTGTATATAAACTGTGCCCATCCCATTGCAAATGTCATCGCTTGAAAAAAAAAACGCGTTTAAATTACAAAATTTTATTATACTGATATTGTTTCCATGTACAGAGCGCCTACAGATCACATATTTGCTTGTGTCCGAAATTTATATTTAAAATCTGACATATATATATATATAATACTTATATATAACATCTCGAGCCCATCTGTCTTACTTCCAGTTGCGGAACACTGGACTTCCGGTTCCGGATTACTGGATCCTGTTGTGGAAAAAGTCTTGTAAGCATTACTACATGTAGTAGTAAATGGAATTTTTCAAATGTGATTTTATGAGATTTTTGTTTAAATTTACAAATATTTTGTGTATTAAGTGTCTTCATATGATGATTTTGAAACTATTTACAATGTAGTTTAATCATTTCAATACTTAAGAATGTAGATTTATTGTTTTGATATCTTTAGTTTACGTTAATTTGTGGTAAAGGCTACGAGCTTTGAGTACCTGAACCGATGGCTGTATATCATTTTGTGATTTTCCTGCAACTCAAAAGTTCTTATTATTAAGACAAAATCATCGTTAACGACAAAAAAGTCTCTTTCGAAACATTGTTGCTATTGTTTGCGATACAATGTTGTTGTATTAAGTTTAAAAAATATAATAAAGTGGAACGTATAATTATCATCATCATTATTATGATATATTTGTTCACCATTTTTTTAACAGACGTTCCAAATTTAAATCACACCTTTGTTTTCGTTTGTTTTAAAAATAAATTAAAAACAAGAACGATTTATTACAGGGATCTATACACATTACTCTACTTTAATAGTGTAGCTACTTGTACATGTATCTAGGGATTGTAAATGCACGGCATCAAAATGAGAACCGAATACTTTGATAAGGAAGGTAATCCTAAGCCAGAAAAAAAAAAAAACTCCCTCAATTGCTTTATTTATTTTCTACATGGTTTATGAAAAGGGAGGTTACTCAAAGTAGCAACGACAGCTCTGGAGTGGAACTCTCCTCAGCGATGAAAACTAGGGTATGACAACATTTACGTTAAGGCAACTTAGATTTTGTTTCAGACATTATTTTTTCTTTAATTGTATTATTAATATTTTTTCAGACATTAGAAATGTTAGTGTGGTATCAAACAACTTGGTGAGGGCATGTCAGTGATATATTTGAATACATGGAAAAAGAAAAAAAAAAGAAAAAAAAAATCTGACATCAAGCAAGACTGTCATTTGCAATACTTAACATCACCATTTAATGATAATACAGGTATTTTGAACAGTAAGAATCCGTGAAATAGACTCATTGATCCATTTTTACGGGGATGGGAGATGAAAGATTTCGAAGCCAAATATTAAATTATTTTCAAAAGTATGTCAGACTGTTTAATATGCAATTGATAGGTGGCAGAAAATATGAAAACAAAAGTTGGCAAACGAGAAAACCAGATATAAAACGAAAATAACTTCTTTTAACTTGAATATAAAAAAACTTTCCTGTATCACAAAAATATGTTATTGTAGACTAGTGTTAACATATAACTAAACACTCAATGACGGTCAAATATTTTAATTTTCTTTAAATCTATAACAAAACGTATTTTAAAGACATTGCAAAGGTTTGATTAACCTTGCAAAACGATGAAACCCACCTCGTAAACATAAAGAGTTGAACAGAGTTACATATATTTCGTGGATAAGTGTTGAAGAGATGCTTTGTATATGTCATACTTAGGGAATTTGCTGAAGAGACTTCTTTCATGGATAGCGATTATTTGTGACTGATTGTAATAAGATATACTGTATAAATCCTGTGATGAAAACACTGAATGAATGGGTGTTAAGTAAAACACTGAGTGAATTGGTGTTATGTAATATACTGAGTGAATGGGTCTTATGTAATACACTGAGTGAATGGGTGTTATGTAATACACTGAGTGAAGGGGTGTTATGTAATACACTGAGTGAAGGTGTGTTATGTAATACACTGAGTGAAGGGTTGTTATGTAATACACTGAGTGAATGGGTGTTATGTAATACACTGAGTGAATGGGTTTCATGCATAACACTACTTAAATCTACGTGATGTCACAAATTTGATGTATGGGGCGAAACACACTACAAAAATGTGTGTGGTTAAATACACTACACACATGTGTGTGGTGAAATACACTGCGTAAATATACGTGATGTCATAAATCTTAAATCTTAATGTATGGGGCAACAAAGACTGAATGAATGGGTGGAATGAAATACATTGCATGAAAATACGTGATGTCATCAATCTGAATGTATGGTGTGAAATACACTGCGATAATGTATGATGTGAAATACACTGCGGGAATGTGTGTGGTGAAATACACTGCGTAAATATACGCAGTGTCATACATCTGAATGTATGGGGCGAAAAAGATAATGTTTGTGGTGTGAAATACACTGCAAAAAATATACGTGATGTCATAAATAGTGAATATACGGGGCAAAATACGTAGCGTGAATGTATTGGGTGAAATACGTAGCATAAATTTCTTGCGTGAAATACGTAGCGTGAATGTATAGGGTGAAATACGTAGCGTGAATGTATTAGGTGATGAAATACGTTGCGTGAATGTATTGGGTGAAATACGTAACGTGAATGTGTTGGGTGAAATACGTAGCGTGAATGTATTGGGTGAAATACGTAGCATGAATGTATTGGGTGAAATACGTAACGTGAATGTATTAGGTGAAATACGTAGCGTGAATGTATTCGGTGAAATAAGTAGCGTGAATGTATTGGGTGAAATACGTATCGTGAATGTATTGGGTGAAATACGTAGCGTGAATGTATTAGGTGAAATACGTAGCGTGAATGTATTGGGTGAAATGTGTAGCGTGATTGTGTTGGGTGAAATACGTAGCGTGAATGTATAGGGTGAAATACGTAGCGTGAATGTATTGGGTGAAATACGTAGCGTGAATGTGTTGGGTGAAATAAGTAGCGTGAGTGTATTTGGTGAAATACGTAGCGTGATTGTATTGGGTGAAATACGTAGCGTGATTGTATTGGGTGAAATACGTAACGTGAATGTGTTGGGTGAAATACGTAGCGTGATTGTATTGGGTGAAATACGTAGCGTGAATGTATTGGGTGAAATACGTAGCATGAATGTGTTGGGTGAAATACATAGCGTGATGTATTAGGTGAAATACGTAGCGTTAATGTATTGGGTGAAATACGTAGCGTGAATGTGTTGGGTGAAATACGTAGCGTGAATGGATAGGGTGAAATACGTAGCGTTAATGTATTGGGTGAAATACGTAACGTGAATGTATTGGGTGAAATACGTAGCGTGCATGTATTGGGTGAAATACGTAGCGTGAATGTATTGGGTGAAATACGTAACGTGAATGTATTGGGTGAAATACGTAGCGTGCATGTATTGGGTGAAATACGTAGCGTGAATGTATTGGGTGAAATACGTAACGTGAATGTATTGGGTGAAAAACGTAGCTTGAATATGATGAAACACACTTCGGGAAGGAATGTCATTAAAGAAAACACTTCACAAATGTTTTCGATAAAACAATTCGTAAAAATCCATTCGTGTGTGATAAAATACACTGCTTGAATGTATGGAGTGAAATACACTTCGTGAATGTTTGCGATGAAACACACCTCGTGAATGTTTGTAATGAAACACACCTCGTGAATGTTTGTAATGAAACACTTTGTGCAAAGATCTTCATAAAATGCCATTTTCCTAATCAAATTTACCTCTAATATCATTACTGGACTTGATGTATGTTTCCATGTATGAAGTAACACTATCATTCCTTCGCCAAGAGATTCCACGAACCTGAAAACACATATGTTGATGTATTGTACATTTTGTGTTTAATACTAAGTTCTTATTACAGTGTAAATGAAATGAACGTATTCTGGTTTGAAGAATTGACAACTGCTTTTAAAGGAAAATGCAGTGTTTTTTTATGACCAATTTCGACAATAAGTATTTTGGAAATCAATGTTGTTGCAGATAAAAACTTATTTTAAAGAACATGGTTATTGTTTCATTCCTTTATTCTTATTTCATAACAAACAAAAAAACTAGTTTAAGACACACTTAGTGTAGCTTGAAAAATTGCAACGCTATTAAACGCAAATAATTTCGTTTGCAAACAAAAAATGTTATTTTTAAGAACAACAAGTATTTGTCAATAAAGTCACAATGCTAATTACCTAAGGTAGAAAGTCCCGTCGCTTTCAGATATTGAAAAAAAAAAAGATTTTGAAAAAAAAAGATTTGCCTGCTAAGTTTTATGTTAGTTCCTCTATATATTAATGCAAAAACAATTAAGCTTAGAGCTCATTTTATGGAGAAATAACATTTTTCTAATCATTCTCGTAAACGTTGTAGAGGAATATTAACATTGAACAAATTATGACCGCTAGCGAAGTTGATAATTAAAAGAAATCTGCCCAAAGTCAAAAGGTCTGGATATTCAATTCTCGTGACGGCGACAGCTTGTGAAAATCGATATCATAATTACTCTTTCGTGTATACTTATTTTCCTCAAGTAAACGTGTAAGCAATCTTGAACTCTTTTTCGATGGAGATACAAAACAAAGTGCCGGAATCTCTACCTAAATCTCATATACTACCAACAATACTTAACACTTAACACAAAATAAAGAATTTCACGAGCGAAATGCTGTTTCTTAAAATAGAGAACATACAAAAAACATGTCTTTATGAAACTGGTTTCCATTTTTTGTTATACGTTTTTTTAACAAAAGAAATTTCTCGAAGAAAAAACCAATCTGATAAAGAAATACAATTATTAATATCTGTAAATGTTTGGGGATTTTTCTGGTGTGAATAGAGTTTTTCTAAGTTTAAAGTAGCTTCCAAATGATTTCATCGGAAAATCGCTTTCATTAACTCATAATTATATTATTTTCACATACATTAAGGATCCGTGTCAAACTAAATGCTAAACACAGAAGAGTTCCGCTGGCATGTTTCATACATACAGTCACCTCCCTTTGATTTCTATTGGATATTACTGTAATGGGACTTTCGCCATGTAACGACCGCT